ACACCACCACCAGTTAACACCACCACCAGTTAACACCGCCACCAGTTAACACCACCACCAGTTAACACCGCCACCAGTTAACACCACCACCAGTTAACACCACCACCAGTTAACACCACCAGTTAACACCGCCACCAGTTAACACCGCCACCAGTTAACACCACCACCAGTTAACACCGCCACCAGTTAACACCACCACCAGTTAACACCACCACCAGTTAACACCGCCGCCAGTTAACACCACCACCAGTTAACACCGCCACCAGTTAACACCACCAGTTAACACCACCACCAGTTAACACCGCCACCAGTTAACACCACCAGTTAACACCACCACCAGTTAACACCACCAGTTAACACCACCAGTTAACACCGCCACCAGTTAACACCACCACCAGCTAACACCGCCACCAGTTAACACCACCACCAGTTAACACCACCACCAGTTAACACCGCCACCAGTTAACACCACCACCAGTTAACACCGCCACCAGTTAACACCACCACCAGTTAACACCACCAGTTAACACCGCCACCAGTTAACACCGCCACCAGTTAACACCACCACCAGTTAACACCACCACCAGTTAACACCACCACCAGTTAACACCACCAGTTAACACCGCCACCAGTTAACACCACCAGTTAACACCGCCACCAGTTAACACCGCCACCAGTTAACACCGCCACCAGTTAACACCACCACCAGTTAACACCACCACCAGTTAACACCACCACCAGTTAACACCGCCACCAGTTAACACCGCCACCAGTTAACACCACCAGTTAACACCGCCACCAGTTAACACCACCACCAGCTAACACCGCCACCAGTTAACACCACCACCAGTTAACACCACCACCAGTTAACACCGCCACCAGTTAACACCACCACCAGTTAACACCGCCACCAGTTAACACCGCCACCAGTTAACACCACCAGTTAACACCGCCACCAGTTAACACCGCCACCAGTTAACACCACCACCAGTTAACACCACCAATCTACAACAACATATCCAGCTTTTCATGGTTAGTCTCCAGTGGCAACGTGAATCTAGGTGCACCAAATTTATTATTATTTTCCGCGTGAGGCGCGTGGCGACCTTCTGAACACCTGTGTTTATGGCTTCATCCACCTGAGTGCGGAAGCCTGACTTCTTTACCACCGGCCTACACCGCTTTACATGTGAACTTTGGCTTTATTTATCAGTTATAGCTTTATATGTAAGCTTAGGCTTTATAGCTTTTGTATGTAAGCTTTAGCTTGATGTGTTGAGCTTTAGTTTTGTATGTGAGCTTTACCTATGTGTAAATTTCTATATGCATAAGAGAGAATGTCTGTTTGCATGTCCACCATTGAAGGCCTGACGCTTGGGGCTAGCTTCACTCAACTTTGCAGGTGGAATGGTCTTGGGTTCGGGAACGGCGTAGGCTGGGAACGGCGAACGGCGTAGGTCAGCTTAAGTTAAAAAATAAAAAATATTAGCATTTATAGAGACCCCCCAGACGATTTTCATAAAGTGTGAAGTATTTGGTGTGTTTTCCATAGAGTATTCCAATGGAAAGTAATAAATTTTCAGAGAAAATGGCGAAGGACGAAGTGGAGGACAAGGGGGGGGGGAAAACATGGGTGAAGGGAAGAGGAATATGTAATACTATATATATATATATATATATATATATATATATATATATATATATATATATATATATATGTATATATATATATATATATATATATATATATATATATATATATATATATATATATATGTCGTACCTAGTAGCCAGAACGCACTTTTATGCCTACTATGCAAGGCCCGATTTGCCTAATAAGCCAAGTTTTCCTGAATTAATATATTTTCTCTATTGTTTTTCTTATGAAATGATAAAGCTACCCATTTCATTATGTATGAGGTCAATTTTTTTTATTGGAGTTAAAATTAACGTAGATATATGACCAAACCTAACCAACCCTACCTAACCTAACCTAACCTATCTTTAGAGGTTAGGTTAGGTGAGGTAGCCGAAAAAGTTAGTTTAGGTTAGGTTAGGTAGGTTAGGTTGTCGAAAAACAATTAATTCAGGAAAACTTGGCTTATTAGGCAAATCGGGCCTTGCATAGTAGGCATAAAAGTGCGTTCTGGCTACTAGGTACGACATATATATATATATATATATATATATATATATATATATATATATATATATATATATATATATATATATATATATATATATATATATATAATGATATCCCGGTTCACCCGGATATCATTATATATATAAACATTATACAACAATTATAATTATCATCCCTGTAACATATCCTTAAAATATAACGATTCCATAAAACGTCTCAAATTAGAAATAGGGGGAAACCATTTAGAAAAATCAGAATATGAATCATTTTGACAAATAAGTAGGAAGTAAATGTTATATTAAGGCGAAGGAAAGGGGGAAGGAGCGGGATAATGAGGGTGCGGAGGGAGGGAGGGAGGTATTGATGCCTGGGTCACTACGGGTTAATGACAGCCACGGGGGTAATGATCTTAATTACACCACCAGGTTATTTGATCTTATGGGAACACGAGACACGCAAACACCAAAATATTTTATAATATTTAAACAATGTATTTACTAGGCTTCGGTGCTGAATATTGGGTACTAAGATTTTTAAGGCCTGAACACCGGTCAACAGGTCATTGATTATTATTGGGGGCTTTACGATGGCTTTTGATGACTTTGGTTAACGTTAAATCGAAAAAAAATATCTTACACATCGCTTCGGGCACCTCATTATTTCTGTAAAGTGAGTCTGTTACAAGGATGATGTGGATTCTCCTCCATGTTTCTCATGTGTCGTAGTACAGGTGAGTAAAGTCTGTGAGTTCAAATATATGTGTCTGTGTGTAGACGGCCATGTTGTGGAGCCGCTAGACCGCTTCATCCTTCATGTCAATGACCATGTCGCTGATTCTCTCCTAAACAGTCCTGTTTGATAGAGAAATTACTTTAAGTTTTTTCTCCGGTCCATTTTCCAACACAATTTCCAGCATTTCGAGAGCGCAAGGTTTGATCAAAGCTTCCCCAATTGTACGTGTTTGTTGTTGTTCTGGTTTGTTATTTCCAGTTCTACGACACACGAAGCTCCAGTAACGTTGTGGTTCATTCCTGGGAATGTCGCTGTTGAATCCTCCTTCATTTTTTTGAGAGCATTCTCTTGACGTGCAAAAAAGCTTTTGTCCCTTGTCCTTGTGTTGAAGAGGAACATTCTGAAAATGTGGCTTCAACTTCGTTGTTTTCATAGAATCATTTGACAGAACTTTGCTGTAAATATCACATTGAGGCTTTTCTTCTCTATGCAGGCGATGAGTCACAATATCGTGGCTAAAGTAAGTTGACCAGACCACACACTAGAAGGTGAAGGAACGAGGACGTTTCGGTCCGTCCTGGACCATTCTCAAATCGACTTAAGAATGGTCCAGGACGGACCGAAACGTTGTCGTCCCTTTCTTCTCTGTAAGTGATGAATGTGAAAACATATTCCATTTATGAATCCTCGTAAACTTTCTTTTCTGAAACTCATGATCGAGTCTAAAATCTGTGAATACAAAATAATAAAAACATCAACTATAACTGTGAATGGAATATTTACGGATAAAAGGGAAATGTTTATCTTTGTTTTAAACTTTATCTGTGACATACAATAATGTGTCATGTCCTGAAGATTATGAATAATCTGTAGAATTGTAGTTTGTAGACAGATAAATATTCCGACAGCCTGAGTCTATGGTCCAAATTTCCCCCTAAAACCCTAAAATTCCTCCCCCCTGCCTGGGGAGAATTCCCCCCTGGTTTAGAATTTCTGAAATAGGGTTTACTCAGCTCTTACTCCCTATCTTGTCCAGCCACTCTCCCCTCTCCCCTTCCCACATGTAACTTGGCTCTCTCCCTTCACGCCCTCCCACGAGACATTCAGCCCTCTCCCTTCACCCACGTGCCACGTGGCACACGACACACGCGCCAAACATGTGACACCGATAGTGAGGTGAAGTACATGTGAGGGTGACACTGTCAACTATCTTCTCCAGGCTCTGTTTTTCCTCCTACATCACAGTTTCTCTCTCTCTCTCTCTCTCTCTCTCTACTTTCTCTTTCTCTCTCTCTCTCTCTCTCTCCCGACCGTGCGGCAGGTCTCACGTTGGTGGCCCAGATAAAGCAAGTATAACGAAAGGTGTTGTACAATATGAGGTTTCGGTGTCGGCCTGTGTTAAGCTGCCCTTCTGCAGAGCCTTCCCCCCCCCCCCCCTCCCCAGCCAACACCCTCACGCCTCTTTCATCCTCTGTTCACACGCCCATGTCTGCACAGCTTCCACCATCTGCACCCGCGTCCGCTATGCTGTCGCTCCCTACGCCCTCACGCACCACGCCCTCACACACCACGCCCTCACGCGCCACGCCCTCACGCACCACGCCCTCACGCGCCACGCCCGCACGCACCACGCCCTCACGCACCACGCCCTCACGCGCCACGCCCTCACGCACCACGCCTACACAGTGAAGATTGCCTAAGGAGGATGAATATGATCGAGGTGAACCTCTCCGGCAGAAATCCTCTATTCCCTTCCATCTTCCTGTTCTCTAATGCCTCTCTGTGTCTCTCTGTCTCTCTCTCTCTCTCTCTCTCTCTCTCTCTCTGTCTCCCCTCCCCGAGAGAGG